GTAGATATAGTGTGGCTGACATGATATATTTCCCTTCAAAGTTTACAGTATCAGAGATGATCTTCAGTGTTGTACAGTAGATATAGTGTGGCTGACATGATATATTTCCCTTCAAAGTTTACAGTATCAGAGATGATCTTCAGTGTTGTACAGTAGATATAGTGTGGCTGACATGATATATTTCCCTTCAAAGTTTACAGTATCAGAGACGATCTTCAGTATTGTACAGTAGGTATAGTGTGGCTGACATGATATATTTCCCTTCAAAGTTTACAGTATCAGAGACGATCTTCAGTGTTGTACAGTAGATATAGTCGAAGTTAAGCCTATTCCACAACACGTGATACCCACCAAACACCTCGAAGTTAAGCCTATTCCACAACACGTGATACCTACCAAACACCTCGAAGTTAAGCCTATTCCACAACACGTGATACCTACCAAACACCTCTAGTACAAAATACACTTTAAACCGAGTGGTGTGACGAAAAACGACAAAACGATACACGTATCTCGTAAAACAACGTTTGTCATCCACACCCCCTTTAATAAATATGGTTTCTAGCGCGTCACCTCTTTTTTAAACGAGCGAGTTAAGTGACGAGATGTAATACAAGGATACACATTAAAATGCTAATGTGTTGTAGTAATTACCCATTAACAACAAATATACTAAAACGTTTAGTTTTGTATTATTGCACAATTGACTACCCTAATCGCTCGCGCCTCCCACGAGATCATTTCGCTTCCCTGGTGGGCGCGCCCCACACTTTGAGAAATGCTGTCAGATCTAGCGATGCTTTCAAAACCTGGGTATCAGGGGGAGGGATATTAAAACTCAAGTGGGTAGCGGTACAAACAAATGAAGAAATTCACACATAAAACCTAACACATAAACTCTGCTGTTTAAGATGAGGCTCTGGGGGGATGACAGATCCATCCTTCAAATACCTTTGGAATTCAATGTACTATCTATCCTTCCGTCCGTACTTTGCTATTCCTTATTTCATTTTTGTATAGTTTAAGGAAGTTTAAAAAGCTTCTCGCACACGAGTTACTCTTTTAGTTATATACGTATATATTAGTAATGTTACTGCTATATAACCACACCAACAATATACCATATAATCGTATTTCCAAAGGCCAGCTGAAGGCGTGAGTGGTATATCTTCGTCAAAGTTTGAGGCCACAAAAATAAGGTAGCTATCGAGACTGTGTTACCAAAGAAAACAAACCGTTTTAACGTAAATGCTAATGAAGCATGCAATCCTTGACTTCATTTCCTTTGGACAGACTTGTCAAATCGATATTTTAATTTATGTTCGTCCTGCTGTTACAAAAAAATAACAGGGATAGAACCTGTGCCAATTAGGACAGAACTTGGCATAACATTAACCACGCTTTTCGTAGTAAGTAAGGGGAATGTTTAAGCACTTAGTGATAAAAAGGTACATGTGACATACACACAATTAACTCAGTCGAGTAGAACTGTACACGTAACGGTGATGATACACGTATGGTCATGATTGCTGAGGCTGAGAAGTATAACGTGTTACCAATGTAATACGTGTTTTGTTGTTGTTTTCAGACAAGATTCTACGAAACCACGAGCGAAAGCAAGGGGAAATATATCATGTCAGCCAGATGACTGTTTCCATTTTCCAGTCAAGTATAAAATGACCAGTGACTCCAAGAAAGCTGTGCATTTGTCTGCTACTCCAGATATCCAGTGACATTGATGTTGGGTGACATTGCAGTAGAAAGATGACTTTTTGTTGGACTTCATCAAACCTACTCTTGATCAACATTGTAGACAGATGCTTGCGACTAGGAAGAACATATCGAAAATCCATGGTTGCCATTAGATCTTGAAAATCTTTTAACTTCACCACTGAGGAGGATTGCAGTGTACTGGCAATAAAATTGACGTGTTTGTTAGTGATGTGCTTCTGACGAGGATGTGTAGCTGTTATTGCAGGCTGCTGCATCTGGACAGAAATACCAGAGCCAGGTGTAGACTTCCGTAGCTCTGTCCCTTGATTATGCTAGAAATACAAAGGCATATATATCTCAGTTATATAATATATTGTTTATAAGAAACAACATATAATAATAAATTTGAATGATGAATGTAGTTCAAAATATGACAAATTTAGATCAACAAAAAAATTTAGCTTATAATAATAAAAACATATACTAAATAAATGAAAATATTAAAAAAATATAGTTTAACATGCATGAGAAATTTAGTTGACTAATATTATATTGTATAACTTATGTAGAATATAGCTCATATTAACAAAAATAATAAAAAGGCTTACCTTCACATGTGTCGGCAAGTTATGAGTGGTTTTTCCTGAAGTAGAAATAGTCCACTCACAATATTTACACTTTGCCTTCATGTGACCAGATCTATCAGTAGGAAGTGTTCATGTACCACTGAAGGCAGTTTAGTAGTCATCTCACATTCTCTGAAGTGACTTGACTGGATTAATAACCACGTAATACAATAACTTTTAAAGCTGTTGGAAAGTACTGACCTAATTTTACCCTCTTGCCAGACACACTTTTTACTGAGCATGTCACAATGTGTTTAGTAAGTTACATTCAAAATTTGATTATATTTTTTGTTGTTTATGTTCTACCAATTAGTATACCATACAATCATAGCTAATAATCTATATTTTAATACACAAGTTTTAAGTTCATAATTTTATGAGGCAACATTTAAAAAACAATCTTGAATTTCCCCTACTGGGAGAAGTGTGATTTTTTTCCCTCCCCTCTTCTCTAATTTATTTACTACCCTTCCAAGAAGTACAAAATTTAATGTAAATTACTCATTATAATGTTGTCATCACTCAGGCTAAGCATAATTTTCATAGCCTTCAATTTTGTTTGGTTACATAGCCATAAAATAGAAAATCAGACCCCTCTTGCCACACCCACCTGTCACATCCTCTCTTTTGGGATTTGTCAGTAGTTCTTTCTGATGTTCAATATTAAATTATTTATAACCAATAGAAAGCCAAGATTTTCATCAATCAAATGACAAATTATATTACATTATTTTCTGTACAGTGGGAAAGAAGGTTGTACTGAAAGAGAAATTAATATTCTGCGGATGTAATAATGACAGTCTAGAAATCAGATGAGTACAAAAGTTGACATTTACTCTTACAATATTAAGTATTCACTAAATTATTCAGTGAATATGAATACTATGCCACTGGATTCTAATACTTTAAGTTTCCTACCAAAATATTCAAATACTCCCAAAGCTGTATTCAAATACATCTGGCAGCTAGTCACCACCACCCATTGCCAACTCTTCAACTACTCTTTACTAACAAATAGCTGGATTAATTGTTATATCATAACACTGCCCTAGGGTCATGCTAGGCCCTTGACTGCAAGACTGACTATATACACCATATGTGTACTGGAAGGGTGGGTGTACAGAGTAATATGCATTGCAAAGGAAAATATATTTAGAGAATGGATCTGCGATCCCTCACAGCTCCATCTCATACAGCAGTGTTTATATGATAAGGTTCTTCTGTGTATGAATGTGTTCAATTAGAGTACAGGTACATCAATAGGTTTGTCACTTTTTATCACACCATTAGACTCAAAGTGCCTTTTGTATTAAGGATGCTTGGTGTGTATCACATGTTGTGGAATAGGTTTAATCCAATTAGATTTAATATTGCAGTCACTAAATGCATGGCCACCAGGATCAATCAAGACGCATAGTTACCCGCCATTTTTCTTTCTTGAACAGCTTTTCATGAGTTCGATAAAGGAGGAATCTAAAGACTTTTGTGAAAGATGGTAAACACTTTAGCCAGCCTGACCTTTGTATTTTCTGATGATAAAAGTATAAAAAAAACAACTATGACCTTATTATTATCTGTGTAGACACACTTGCACATAATTATAAATACATAGTATGTACATCAACAACAAACACGTCATACGTAGAAGCAATGCAACTGTTATGATCTCACAAAATGCTTTAGAAACATGCAGCTGTACGTACATAAAAAACAAAGCAGATAAAAAAAATACTCTATCAGCAGAACTTGCTTTAAAGTAATCGCGAAGACAATGTGGCTCAAAGTATTGTGAGGCTTCTTTTTAGGTACAAACTGTTTAAAGACATACATAATGCTGATTGTTTGTTGTTAAGTGCAAAGCTATACAATGAGCTATCTGTGCTGTGCCATCACAGGAATGAAACCCGGTTTAAACCTACAGACTTACCACTGAGCTACTGGGGGGTACAACGATGACGGACAGTTAAAACTCAGTTACTCACTATAAACACGTCTTACTGTACAATATTTACATTTAAAACGTATTTCTAAGCTAGATGCATGTAGAGAAAATTTATACGACTTCCTGAGCCTTGAAGTTGAAGTGTTGCTTTAGGTAAGGTTTCAGGGTTTCTCTGAAACAGTCAAAATACTAATATTTTCTCCACGCAACGACCACGACAAAAAAAAATAATAAAAAGTTATCGCAATACACACTAGCAGGACAATAGGAAGTTGAAAACTTCCTTTCGTCGTTCTACTTCCGCCTTATTAATCACAAAACGCCTGGCGGCTTCAGATAGAAACTATTTAATCAAATATTTGGTTATTGTTAAAAATAGCGTCACCTAGAGGCAAATTGTGAAAATCTATATCGACAAATGATAAGTATGATTTGTAATTACTGTGGAAATATTAAAAAATACGTGGATTACGAAGATTTTTGTTTTTAAAATTGATTACTAAAAACTTTATTTTTGAACAAAAGAAAACACGAAAACATGAGGCTGTACGTATCCACCTCTCGTGTTGACTGTTTTTCTTTTTTGTCAAAGTAATAAGTTCCACAATCAGTTTGCACCCACTAACTGGAGAGAGAGAGTAATATTTACCTGAATTTAAACAGGGACATACTTATAGCTTCACATTCTTGTTCGGTACTGCACTGAAGGCTAAGCCTTTTCACAATTCCCCGCACGAATAGCTCCAAAGATATAAACAAACCGGATCTTCAAGTTTCCTTCAAATTAACTTATATATACACGTATAACTTGTGTGATTGGGTTTCGTCAATTGTATCATATGGAGTAAATTGTTTTTGCCTGTTACAAAACTCAATGTAAATACTTGAAAAAAAGGGAAACTTAAAATTACTCGTTTTTCTGTGTAAAATACATATTAAGAGTATTTTCGCTTACATTCTTTTTGTGTATGTGTATACAAATAGTTTAAAAAAAATGTGCTTAGAGAGATAATGGGGGGAATGGACCCCATCGTTACTTGACGGGTTAACATGATCGTAAAACCGAAACGTGCAGTCCTAACCACCACTAAAGGAACCGGAATTATTAAATACAATCGTTAATACCACACATGTACAAAAGTATGTTTCACGTATAGTATCCACCGTACACGTATCTGTCACGATACAAGTATGGCCATGTCTGTTGTGACTTGAGTGTTAACCAATGTTAGACATTCTTTTCCACATCCCATGGTTAAAAATGAAGGAGAATATGTTATACCAACCATACTACATCTGCTACATCGGGTGCCGACGAGGCCTTTCGCCAAATACCAGGGCTACTCGAGCCAACTGGGATAAGAAAGACATAATACTGGTCAAAGTGCTAAATAGTCAGATTTGTGGGTAAGAATTAATACCACAAAATTACTTAACTTGATTTTAAAACTATTTCAATTAATTTATTATTACTATTTGAATTAGTTTTACTATCAATTCTCGAGAACTGACAAACGGTACACAGACCTTTCAGCTTCCTATATAAAGTTAAGCCTAGTTGAGTTGCGCCATAGAGTACGTTAATCACGTGCAGGACTACAATTATTTTGAAGGTATTTTCGGACATAACTATTACTTACTATATGATGATCATTAGAAATTAATCCACACAACTGTTCAGGTGTTTTTGTCCATCCGATTAATACAACGACACTAAACAGGTGTTGTTTTTCTTCTGAAGACCCTGATTACTCGAACAGTCTTCGTATTTGGTGGGCACCAAGCGCTACACTGTGTTCTACTATATCAAATACTAAGACCGAAGCGTAACCCACACTGAAAACAAAGACAGGGTGTCTATTATAAGTCAGCGACGGAACACTTAGGCAACAAACTTCCTTATCTCTAGGCTCTGTTCCATATACACGAGCGACTTGATTTTCACCATCAAGGTAGAGCAGGAACTGTTCCAAGGTGAATGACCTGGCTATTGCATCTGAACCTTTAAGGTGCTTGAACAGGTTTCGACTTCTTCAGACAACAGCCTCGGGCAGAAACATCCTTCTCTGACCGATCACATACCGTGTGGCCTACAATCTCGCCCGAAAAGGTTCACGGCCAATAACGGTATACACCCAGTCTGTTTGTCATACATACATTACATATACACAGACGCTCTGCCTCCTCCCCAGCAGCTTCCTATCTACATGTTATAAGTTCCACTGACACGAAGCTATTAACTTTTTCTCTCCTTCCCCCCTAACTAGTATTTGTTTCTTAAGCCCCCAGATAAAATAAAAAATCCTAGAAACGCCACTCTATACAAAAACATACAGATTCAAGTGGTAAGTACTAGGATGGGGGGGGGGGGGAACTCGTGCTTCGTGTACAAAACATTTTTGGTTGTGGTATTTTGTATTTGAATGTACAAAGTTTACAAAATGTAACGACAATGCTGTGTATTATTAGTAGTTAAAACAGTTAAGTGACCTCTCTAGACTGTTCACTTATGACTCGTTATTGGGTTAGGTACATTGAACTGTTCCAAACGAATCTGACGGCCGTGCCTCAATGATTGGGCTGGCATGTCAACGTTTCAAGGGACGTCACACTTCTGATAACATTGCAATTGAATATGATGAAATAATAAATCTCTTTATTATGAACAACAAAGTGTCATATGTGACATATGATAACGCATCCAACATGATCAAGGCTTTCTGATTGCCTGGATTTGAACCGCAAACACTTCCTAGTGTGAGATATAGCGATAACATATCTACAGATAGTAACTCAGAAGACGAACGTTTGGATGAATCTAAATCAGTTAACAATTTATCCGAATTTCTTCCTAAACATGACCCCTGCTTTTCCTACACACTACAGCCTATGGTCAGGGATGTCATGAAAGAAGCTGGACTACTGCTGAAAGTAATTTTCAAAGCATCAACCATCTTGTCCAACATTCGAAAATCAACGCCACCAACTGAGGCCAGAGTTCAGTCAGTAACTCGGACATAATGGAACTCAGAAATTAAGATGATTAAGTCTCTTTTGAAGATTACCCAGAAGAAGTTGGATAATCTAGATACTGGTGCATCAAAACTTACTGTTCATGATCGAACTGTGCTTGCAGATTTGGTTACAATACTGACACCTTTTGAAGACGCACAGATTTCACCCAGGGTCAGAGGA